CAGCCAAAAAGAGATCCCAGAGTGGCTTCCAAATATGAGTAATGAGACAGATCCTGCCCCACCAGAAAGAAGTCTAAAAGCCACAGAACAAAAGGAAAAGGAAATGAGAGGAGAGAAAAACAAACTAACTCCAGCAGTAGTCTTTATAATAAAGTTCTTATAACACCCAGCTGGAATGATAATGGTTCAAGGAAAGGAGTTTCTGGTCTCTCTCTGCAGCCAATGGAATGGCACTGCTGCCAGGTTGCAAGAAAAAGAAAACTAACAGGCTTTTAAAAAGAAATCAAGGTTTGTGTGTGTGTTTTTCCTCTTAAGGAAAGTAAAGGAGGGTTGTTATATTCCTATAATAATAAAATTTAATAACTGGTGAAGAAACACTTTGTGTTTTTACATCAGTCCCAGAGGATTTGTTTTCTACTTTTGAAGCTGGGGAGGCTTTAGCAATTTCAACATGTTTTATTTCTCCAACAGCATTTACCCTAGCTTCTGTCTGTCAGGAATCACCTCAATCTTTAGTTTCCTTTTAAGAGAGACTTTGCATGCTCTTTGGCAAGAATTCTAACTTGAGCGCAATTGAGTAATCATCATAACCATATGCAAAAACTTGCTGAAGACATTTGCCCACTTGTTCTTGTGCTGCTTGTTCCTGCCATTTATGAACATTGAATCCTCTTGACAAACTACTTCAGGGATAGGCAATCTGCATCCCTCTAGATGTTATTGTACTCCAACTCCCATCATTCCTGGGTCAGGCTGATGGGAACTGGAGTCCAAAAAACATCTGGAGGGTCACACGTTCCCCACCCAAAGCCTACTTTCAGCAATTTCTCTTCAGCATATTTCAATTTAACTTCTTCCATCAGCTCAAAAAGCCAAAATGCCACATGACCTTTTAGAAAAACAAGTAAGTAAATCAATACCAAATAACCTGCCAAACTTCTGAAACTGGGATTGCTGTCCAAAGCAGTTTGTGCTATAGTACAGATATCTACCATTCAAAACGACAGCAGTGAAACTATTAACTCACTGGTCATGTCCAAGATCCTAGGACAGGCCAGATGCTGTAGTTGATGGCAAGCAGTCCTGCTGACAATGGTTTCCTTGAAAAAGAGGCGAGTTAATATCTTTTTCAGACATAATGACAACTGATGACCCATCAATATTAATTATTAGTCAAGTGTTTTAGAACTTCTCTATGGTGGAGGCGTCAGCAACTGGTCCCTGATCAGTTCTGTACTCAAGCTGCCAAACCTTGATTGATAAGTGACCCTAATATTGTTTTATGGATGAAATGAATCTGAGATAGTTTGGATGCAAGCACACATTTGGGTCTTGGACTTCTTATTTATATATTTATTTGAACCTTAGGGTCTCCTGGGTCTTAGTCCAACACTCTAACCACTACACCACACCAGCTCACCTTCAATTTTTGGTTACGTGTGTCTAATTCACAGAAACTTTGCTTATGGGACTTCTTTGTTCATGCTGATGTATTTGCTTTGGAAATGTGAGGTTCCCTCTAGTCCACCAAGAGTGCCCATATTTTTACCTTTGCTCCATCCCTTCTAGAACCTTTGAATTTGCAAGCCAGGTGGACATACATTCCCAGTTTGATTTTGTCTGGACCCAAACCGCTTTGCTGGAATCATGATAAGATGCAGAATAGTGACTGGGATCCAAGAACTACTTCAGTTTGTATACAAAAAGGCTCAGACACACCCAGTGGGATTTTTGCTCTTGGAATTAGCTCTTCCATTGCTTTACTTTTGATTATGACCAAACCTCCATAAGATCTCACTTAGTGCTTCAATTATATGTCTAAATACAAACTCAAACCTACATCTCTCTCTCTTTCTTTCTCTCTCTCTCTCTCTCTCTCTATATATATATATATATATATATACCCAGTTTAGTAGAATACCCTGCTATTTCAAAACTTCAAATCATCATAGTGAAATCAACCTCTAGTTGAAAAGAACCTCTAGTGAAGCTTAATCATCATAATTGTCTCAGTTATAAAAATGATTTTGCTTTGCAAGCATTCTGGGACATCGTTAAAGCATCCTTGAAAAATAATCCAACTGAAAATTAAAACATTTATCAGCTATGAATAAAGTATATTATTTAAATATTGCTTAGAATTGTTGTAGAGTATACCTGTAATTCATCAAGCAAGTGCTTTAAAATATGTTAGATTACAGCACCTTACTCCCCTTATGAGAGTGTACTTGAATTGGTTTGATTAGTTACACCTCCAATTATACAGTCCACAGCAATCAACCAAAATGAACCACTTATGTAGTTACTTAATAAGTGCACAACCTGAAATTCCTCTCCCAGTCTCCCCACACTCCCATCAAAAATACTGCATACCATATCTAACTTAGGATACTAGCGTGTACAGGTGTAAAGTTTGTGTGATCTAGTAAATGCTGCCCACATGCAAGAAAGGTTCTTCAGAGGCCCAGCATCTTCTGTTGAACACACATAATTCCTGCCTGTCTACTTCCCCATTTGCTTCAACAGAACAGCTCCCTTTGAGCATGCAAAGCTATATCCTTCATTCAAGTGTGTTGAAAGACCTAAGTAAGCAGAGGGAATTTCAATGTTCACCACAGAGACAACCCCTGGCAGTGAAACACTACATCAGAATGAATGCCAATATGGTTTTCAAATGCCTGCTTTAAAAAAAAACCTCTTAAGACCGCAAACCTATACTTGTAGGGAGAAAGCTCCATGGAACACAGTGGAACTTAAAGGTAAAGGTAAAGGGACCCCTGACCATTAGGTCCAGTCGTGACCAGCTCTGGGGTTGCGGCACTCATCTCGCTTTATTGGCCGAGGGAGCCGGCGTACAGCTTCCGGGTCATGTGGCCAGCATGACTAAGCCGCTTCTGGCGAACCAGAGCAGCACACGGAAATGCAGTTTACCTTCCCGCCGGAGCGGTACCTATTTATCTAATTGCACTTTGATGTGCTTTTGAACTGCTAGGTTGGCAGGAGCAGGGACCGAGCAACGGGAGCTCACCCCGTCGTGGGGATTCGAACCGCCGACCTTCTGATCGGCAAGTCCTAGGCTCTTACTTTTGAGTAAACATGTTCAGAATTAAGGGAAGGCCCATAGATAGCTCAGTGGAACCACTCTACTCTCCAGGTAGAGGTTGGAAAGACTCCTGTCTGAAACTCTGGCAGGCCTCAGCCAATCAGTGTAGCCCAGGGTTTCTCCAGCAGCTTTTGAATTACAACTCCCAGCATCCATAGCTAGCAGAAGCAGTGGTCAGGGACACTGGCGGAGGAAAGGGGAGCAGAGTGAGGGGAGGGGGATACCATTGTGGCCGCTCCCCCTGACATGTGCCGCGCACCCCCCACCGCACCAGGCGCCACGTCCCCACAGACACGCCCCACGCCCCTGGGACATGCACCATGCCCCCATGGGATGCACGCCACGTCCCTGGGACACGCGCCAGCCACACCCCCATCTGCTCTCCCCCCCCCCACAGTGCCGGAGTATGCAGCTTCCCCCCTGGTCAGGGATGATGGGAGTTGCAGTCCAAAAACAGCTGGAGACCCAAGTTTGGGAAACCCCGGTGTAGCCAATACTGACAGAGATGAGCCAATAGTCTAACTTGGTATAAGCCAGCTTTCTCTGAATTATCCTGTTAAACAGGGTTCTTTTCTTGGGGGGCGGGGAATGAATGACATAATTCAGAAAGCAACACATGATTGCTTATATTTAATCCTAATGATTTAGAAAGGCAATACAAGAGATATGAGCACTTAGATAATGATCTTAGATTATATTTTAACAGTTCAAAACCACCAGTTTGAGCTGTGAAACATTGACTATCCACCTTTAAAAATTTCCAATGAAGTCAGAATGTAACACCCTGCAGTGCTAGTAAAACTGTATAACAATACAGCACTGGAAGTGTGCCATCTTGCTGAAGCAGCAGCTTTTTATATTTAAATGTGTGTTTGTTACATGCAAAAAAAGTAGTTTACAATATTCTACTATTAATTTCATTTAAAAGGTCATGCTTGCAGTCACTGAAAACTCTTAATGTTGTTATTACATATGACTGTCCAAGACATGCTGAGGAAAGCAGATGAGAAGTTTTATTTTATTCCACTAGAGGGTGGCCTCCCAAAAGCTGGGCTATATCCGTGAATGTGTACAGTAAATCCAACCCTTTCTCAGATTTGACCTGTTGATTACCAAAACTTCTTGGGGAACTTGCCAGCAATATTTTGCAATCCGACTATTTTTAGAAGTAATCCAATGCAGATTTGTATTTTGCACTAGGAATATATTTTTTAGAGCCCGTCCTAAATTTCTGCAAATTTTCAGACTAGGTTTCTGATAGGTTACTTTGCCTAGAAATTGAGAAAAAGCATGAAACAAACTAAAGAAGAAAAAACCGCACAAAGACCCCCAGCTGATTTACAGCTATCCAATGAACTGTACACATAAGGAGGAGACACAAAACTCGCCATTTCTGTGGGTACCTATCGGCTTACTAATTCTGCTTGCTTAGTGACTCCATATTTGGAAATGAGCAAAGATGGATTTGGCTGCCAGTCAGTACGAAGCAAAAACCTAGGTATTAAAAGGGGGGTGGAACATATGGGAGCTGCAATACAGTGCAAGGTGTTGCAAGTAGATCACAACTTTGCAAAAAGAGAGAGAGAAAGAGAAATGCTTTTTCATTTACTAATGAGCTCGCATAGCTAGGGATTTACCTAGTTTGAATCATGCTCTTTGGACGCTCTCTCGGTCCTTGCCCTAAACCCATTAAACACAGCCCAGCACATCCAATCATGCCTCTTCCTTTGGTGTCTGGGAAAAGAATGCCGAGAAGCCGAGAATGGGTCTCTTCCCCCGCTTATTTGTACCCTAAGCAGCAATGTCATCTAACAGACAGGTTGCCTCCACCAACCAGACCCCAGCAGCTACGTCTTGGCACTCTCCGGCTATTGGCTGCTCTCTGGGGAGTGGAGGGTATTCAGTTATTAATGACCGCTGAGCAGGCAGCACCATGTCAGTGTGACAACTGATCGGGTGAACGATGCACCAGTAACCACCATGGAAACGAGGAGGAGGAGGAAGAAAAGCTAGCGAGCATCTCTCTTTTCTCCCCTCCTTTCTCTCTCTCCTCCTCCCCCTCCTGCATTGGATTGTGAGCTTCCAACAGCCAGCCAGCGACACAGAGCTCTCTGCTCAAAGTAAAAGGATCTGAGCCTGCTGCACGGAGATTTCCCTCCTATTACAGGATCTATAGAGACAACCATCGCCTGCCCTATCTCTGCGTGCCCAGAGCCGTCTCCTCAGCATCACACCAGCGGTATGTGGTCACCTGAACTAACGGATTCAAATATGCAGGCGGCGTCCAGGACTGAAACTACTCTTTTTGCAAGGTAAGTGCCTTGTTTATCGGAAGTTGCGGGGGCTTTTTTTTGATGCTGTTTACTATTTATGCATTTCTTCTCTGCTTTAGTCGAAACCCTTTATAGACTTTCTTCCCCTCCCTCCTCCACATTTTACTCCTTCAGAGAGAAATACAAAGGAACCCCTGTGTGCTCCCAGCTTCTCACCACCTCCACCAAATCCTCATCAATCTAAAACATTTTTATTTTTATTTTTTTGCAGGACACTCACTCAGATGGGTGTTTTACTCAGCTAAAGCAAAAACGAAAAAAGCAGTATGTTTGTATTGTATAATCCGATTCTCGGGGTTTTCAGTGCAAAAAATAAAACAGCAGACTTTCTCTGTGTTTGGGAGCCAATTACATGAGACGCCAGGCTGCCTTTTTAACCTGCTTCCAATAGCTGGATTACAGCAAAATGCCACTATATGTCACATTGGGAGCTAAAAGCCACCGAGCAAGAAGGCTGAATGAGAATATCGCAAACAGTTATTGAATTTCTGCCAGACTACATTTTAAGGACTGTGGCGAATGACTTATAGACACACATGCACACAAGCACACACGCACACACACACACACACACACAACCCTGACAGTCAGAAAGGCCAGTAGGGAATGTCTGTTGCAGCTGGAACTGACATATGCAAGGTAAAAAGGACAGCATTAACCAGAAGAGGTCTAAGCTTCTGTGGTCATTCAAAGGATCACAACACAATGCCAGCAAGTGCATTTTTCACTGGAGAACACTGTGAGTTCTGACCCTTTATCATATACCCTGTGCTGTTCCCCCCTGCCCCATAGAAAAGCTCAGAAGTGTTTTCTTTTAAAGGGGGTGGGGGGAAACCGTGGCTTCTACTAGTTCTGCCCCGTTTTGACCAGCATTGCCATTTGGAATCAGCAAAACGGTCTGCTTGAGAATAAAGGCAGAAGACAACCTACCTATAAAGTAGGTAATGGAAAGTGACTTGTCAGGCTAGCCTGTGTGTATGTGTAAAACAGAGAGAGAAGGAGAGATTAATATATCTAATGTAAGAAAATGCTTGCTACATCCCTTAACATAATACAGCCATTAAAGTGCAACAGCAGAAATTATTATTATTATTATTATTATTATTATTATTAAAGGTTCCATTATTATAAGGTTCCCATTAAGGTATCACTTCACAATGAGGAAAAGAGAAATAGCAAATGACAGCAGCTGTATAATATGATAAAAATAGTTTTTTAAAAATGTATTTGTTATAGACCTTATACAGTTTGTGGACACGTTTTGAAACCAACTGAGGAGCTACACATCTCCTCAAATGGATCCCTCCTCTCCTCTCCTTCCCATGTAAAACACCGGAGGGAACTTCTTCTCCCATCCCCATCCCCCTTCCCAGTGCCAAAGCAGCTATTTTCCTGGACAACTCCAACCCGAAAGTTAATCTTGGTTCTGCAGTGTAAAATTGAAAGGGGGGGGGGAAGAAACCCAGCAGAAACGACAAGTCATCTTCTTCCTACCTGTCACTTTCTCATAAATATGTCAGGAAGTGGGGAGCTTAACAGTATGTTTGGCGAGAAGTCGATTAATTCAGTTGACCTTTCTAAATGATGGCAATAAAGCAGCCCCGGCAATATGCCACCACATTTGATTTTCCCTCAGATAATGAATGAGTTTTAAGGCAGCGTTCCTTTCCCTTTTCAGGCTAGGAAAGGTGGTGATGCATTTGCTCCTGTTACTGGCAAGCTTGCTTGTCATTCTTCAGAAGCTGCATAAAATCCAGCGGCTTGCTTGCTTGTGTGTGTGTGTGTGTGTTTTCTTTTTAAAAGAACCCTTGAGCCTGATTCATCACCCAGAAGCAAACAACCATTGCATGAAATCTACCTTGGCGAGCACATTTTCCCTCTTTCAAGGAGAGCTGCAACCCTCCTGCTTTCAGCTCATGCAAATATGTTACACTGCAGTAATGAAATAAATCATACTGCATCTTTGGTGATGTATTTAGTGCACCGCTTGAATGAAAGCAGGGTCAAGGGGAGTGGGGGCTGAATGCCCGCACCCGATATGTACTCAGGACTTTTGTGGCTCATTTTTATGTGGTCAATAACATTCCAAGCTGCCTTAGGTCACTTTACGTCTAGGCTACCTTGTTCCACATAGCAGTGGTGTAGAAATAGGCAAATGGTGTGGTAGTATGCCGTAGAGCTTGTCAAAATGCCATGTTTGTGAATATCACCCCTGCAAAAAAGAGCAAGGAGCCACACTCATGCATGTCCAAAGAACAATCAAGGTAGTTTTAGCCATGGCTATATGCCAATGTTACAGGTGATCCTGTCTTTTGAAGAACATGCTGCAAGCCCTGCTGGAATAATGGGATAATATATAATGTGAAAGGACGACTACCTGCCTGCAAGCCTGTGAGTTTTAATTTTTTTCTCCCCAGAGAGTCGGTAGTGGTATCAGTACATTTGGAATAACCAGGTACATGTGGTTTGGAGAGGTACCTGTTTATTAAATTGCAGCCTATACAAACACACTAGGTAGGTAAGTACCCATTAATACCTCTCCTAGATGAAGCTGGTGTGATACCAGTGTGCCACGCCAAAATTCTCTATTGAAAAGATTAAAAAGATGATGCTCATTGTTGAGATATGTATGAAATTCATGCTGGAGCTGTTAACTGAGGTGAGCTTGTCAAAATGCTGTGTTCATGAATATCACCCCTGCAAGGAGGAAGAGAGGGAGTGCTACTGGTTCGTGCCAGCAAATCACTCATTTTTCATCAGGCATATGGACGTAACCCAATCTTTGGACTTGAATTACAGTCAATTACAAACCCACATGCTTTCCCCAAACCAGCTCCTGACTAATACATAGTAGTAAACATCTGTTGCCATAGCCAGAAAGGCTGCTGCAACTTTTGGTCAGAGTATGCACATACAAGCTCATTCAATAGCTAACTTTAGTGCTAACTCTTGTGAGAGAAGAAGATAAGACAAGCTTGTGTTTTAAAAAAGCAAAAGTAATATTATCCAAAAAGTGGCAACTGATAAACCCTATGGTTTTCCTTTCCGGCATCATAAAAAAATACAGTTTAGGCAAGTTAAGCAGCAATTTTGAGAATTCTTCATTTAATGGCAACTTCTGGTGCTGAAAAACAGATCAAAAACTTTTTACCCCACTGTCAGAAGCAGATTGTTTGCAAACTAAACTTCTAAAATGTGACAAGAAAGCTGGCACAATTTATAAAGTGTTTTGCACAAACATGTTCAAAAAGAGAGAGCTTGTAAGAGACATATAAATATGTTGGAACAATAATATTAATCTAATACTACAACTTAATGAAAACCAGAACTAACTCAAGGTAATACAGAATGCAATCACCCTACCTGAGGAGAAATCACAGTAACACAGAAAAGTTCAATTATAGCAAGGTCAAATTCATCTTGAAAAGAGGAAATGCTGGCCTGTGCAATTTGAAAAAGTAATCTGATATGTTTATACTGATTAGAGATCAGTACTGCTTTTTGTAAGGTTTGGCCAATGAGAAAACATCATTTATGCCATTCTTTGTCTGCAGCTGATGCATTAGTCAACAGATAGATGATTTTCCTCCACCTTTCTGGGTTACACTAGGTGTTGCTCTAGACATTGAGAGCATAGAAACATGATCTCAGTCGTGGTGTAGTACAAACCAGAGTTATCTACCAAGTCCCATCAGACCTTCACCAGTGCCATACTGGAGTGATTTAGAATAGTTTTCTCATTCCTTGGAGAGAATTTCTAGGCCTTTTCAGGTTGGCACACAATCAGCAACCACTCTGCCAGTTACAAAATAAGACGAACAAAGCTCCATCTGTGTCTAGTAGCAACCTCCTTGAAACCTTAGCTAACTAGGATTTGAATGCTCTGACATCTTTTCCCAACAAACATGCACACTATAATCCCATTTATTATAGGAAACTATAAGAAATAACAAGAGCAGTAAGCGTGTTTGTAGGCTGTCCCACAGCAGACTGCAAGTAGATGCTTAGATAATTAAAACGTTCCACCTTAAAAAAAAAAACCTTCAAAGAGAAAAGTAGTCATCAAGGAAAAGGACTCTAGCAGAGCCTTCTTCCTGACAGGCCACTTTTCTATGGCTGGCTGTATTTTTTGTTTGTTTGATCTAGAATAACACTATATCACATGAGCTCTCAATTTAGAACACTATGTAGCCCAGCGGCAGATTTGCCATCTCCCCACAAAAGTAATCATATTCATATAATTGCACACCTTTACATTTGCAATGTCCCTTTCTCCATCTACACAGAGGTGCTTCTTTCCATACTTTGTGGTACATACCACCACACAGTGTTGGTTCTAGGTTTCAGAAGGCCCTTGGGCAAAGTGTTCTTGGTGGGACCCCTTCCTCCAGGTGACCCCTACCTCTTCTTCCTTACATGAGTGGACCCACCTGAGTGGGATTGGCAGCAGTCCCCCAGCTGGCACAGGAGCCTTGGCAGGCAACTGGTAATGGCAGCTTCGGGTGCTTGCCTGGATCAGACACATGCATGATAGCCAACTGCAGCCCACCTAGACTCCTATCCCTCTATGTCAGGGTTTCCCAAACTTGGGTCTCCAGCTATTGTTGGACTACAACTCCCATCATGCCCTAACCAGCAGGACCAGTGGTCAGGGATGATGGGAACTGTAGTCCAAAAGCAGGCTGGAGACCCAAGTTTGGGAAACACTACTCTACATGGGCAGGTTATGTGTGCATTCTCCATAAGGTGTAGTGACTGTACACCATGCCCAGACTGTACACCATGTGAAGATCACATGGTGGTTTACAAGATAAAAACAAAAAATGAATACAATAATAATGAACAAAAACAATACCCCCCCAAAAGTTTAAAAGGCCATAGGTTTTTTTTAATTAGCCAAAGGCCTGGTTATAGAGAAAAGTTTTCACCTGCCACCTAAGGAGATACAGTATAATGAAGGCACCAGGTGAGCCTCCCTA